GTGCTGCTTTTTTTTTTGTTTTCTGCTAGGCTGGGATTATAGAGGAAATGCTGGAGGACACCTTTGAAGGGCTGGAGGATCAGGAGGAGATGGAAGAAGAAGCCGAGATGGAAATTGACAAAATCCTGTTTGAAATTACAGCTGGTGAGTTTGTGCGTGTTTGCCGAGAGTGGATCCTTGCCCCTGCTGTGGTCAGTGAGATGCAGCTAATTTAAGTCTTCATCTGTTCTGACTTAACGGCGTTCCCCTGGTAGCATCTTTGCCTTGGGTAACAGGCAAGCAGTGCTCTGACAAACTGGTTTCTCAGGGAGTGCTGGATGAGGAGGCCAGTGCAGTTCAGGAAAGCATAAGCAATGCGTGTCAGCTGATGCCTGTGCGGTTCTGTAACTGAGGCTTTAGCAGAGCAGTGTTGGTCTGTACAGTGGGTCCTCTTAACAAGGTGAAATTTATATTCTTGACTAGGTACACTATTATTAATAAAGCCAGAAAGTAAACTCAGCTGCAGTGCCTTGAGTCTTAGCCAGCGTTGTGGTTCCTGGCTGTAAAATGCTGTTAATGGCTTAAGTTTTCTGGGGGAGGAATGACATAAAAAAACAAGAAAACCCCACCCTAAACCCAAAATATAACCCAACCCCCCAACTTTTGCCTTACAGCTCATGAAGTAATGAATTTTAGTTAATCAACTTAGCTAAGGGTTAGAATGCTCCTCACCTGACCATCTTGTGATGCAGCGTGCCAGGTGTCGGTACCGGAGCTGACACCGTGCTTCCCCAGCGCCTGCCCTGCTCTTACCTTGCGCTGTGCTGCTGGTTTGTCACCCTCTCGTTTGTTTTCCACATCCTGCTCTGCTTTTTCCCGCCCCATTTCCTGGCTGGGAGCAGCTCCCTTCCTGCTGGGCTGGGGGAGCCCTGCTCCTCCCTGGCCCCTCCGGAGGGGCCAACACCTCGGAGCTGCTCAACTCCAGCAGCTCTTGTGCGTGACCTGTACTCGAAGTGCGTGACTGAATATTTTAGATGAACCTGAAAGCTGCTTATTATTAAAGGAGGCTAACGAGCCTGTTTGGTGTTTGCAGGGGCCTTGGGTAAAGCACCAAGCAAAGTCACAGATGCTCTTCCAGAGCCAGAACCCATGGGAGCGGCCGCTGCAGTCGATGAGGAGGAGGACATCGAAGCGATGCAGTCGCGATTAGCCACTCTCCGGAGCTAAGGACGTAACGAATGTGTACAGTTTGCCTTCTCTTTTTTTTTTTTTTTTTTTTTTTTTGCAATGGGATATTCTGTCCTACCTTCAAAAATGAAAAACTTAATACCTGAGAATACTTTATGTAATATATTTTTTTGTTCTTCCTGGGCTTTTTTTTTTTTTTTTTTTTTTTGCAATGGGATATTCTGTCCTACCTTCAAAAATGAAAAACTTAATACCTGAGAATACTTTATGTAATATATTTTTTTTTTTCTTCCTGGAGATTGTATTCTCCAAGAAACTACTGTAATATACTTCTTCTTGGGGAGTGCAGTCTGTAGAGATTCTCGTACCGTTTTCTGTTCAGCTTGTCTCCCCTGTGAGAGGCTGTGGTGCAATGGCGATGGTGGTGTAACAGTACGTATTTTTAGATATAAAGTCCTGAAATACATACTTAGCTTCAAGTAGCATCTCTCCCTAAAAGGCACTTTGGCTTAACCTGCTACCAAAAACTTTCAGTGGTGTAAGATCTTTGTTCTGAATCACTACATATTTTATTAAAGCTGCTTTTAACGGTTGCTCCCGTGCATCAGTTTAGTTTGCATCACTTTGAACTCTTTTCACAAATGACATCCACCGCTAACAGCTCCCTCTTGGTTTTATAACACCTTTTCTTCTCCCCTCTTTAGCACATTTTTGGCATTCTCAGCATAGTTCGAGAAAAGCTTTTAGTCAGAGCAGCTGTTTAATAGCTGCTCTGTCCCTGCTGTGGCCACCGGGGAGCCTCGTTTAGCAAAGGCAGCGTGAAGGTGATGAGAGAGCAGCTGGCAGAGTTTCGCTGGACCCCGAGGCTGTGCCCAGGAGGCCTCCTGGGCCTGGGCTCTGCCAAGGGAGGGGACAGCAGTTGGTCAGGTCTGGGACCAGAACTGACCCTCAGACTGATGCCATGTAATTACCTTTTTCAGCCCTTCAAGATTTATAAAAATTCAACCTGGTACCCACCTGGTACTAGTTTTACAGGCAGACAGTCACTAGCCAGCCCTCCACCTGGCACTGTGTTAGTGGAGCCCTGCACCAACAGGGAGGGTCACTTCAGCCACCCGCACGTTTTCTTAATCGTTCTGGGTACTATCACTTCACTGTCTCACAACCACAAGTGGTAAAAAGCCATCTGCTGTGTATATGGCAGCTTTTCAGGGTCAAAGGAGAGGTGTGTCTCCTCTCAAAGAAAAAAAAGTTCAGGCAAAACCGACGCTGTGACTCAACTACAGGCAGCTTGCAAGGCAGGTACCCACCGAGTCTCACACCTGAACATGTCACTGCCACAGGAAACTCACAGGCGAAGGAAAGAGTTTCTCATTTCAAGACACCAAAAGAAGACTTAAGTCTATAATTGCATTCCAGCAACAAGGGTGGAGGGAGAGACGAGGCACAGATACCTGCGTGGTGTCCAACCACGTTCAGTTTCAGCCATGAAAAGCAGAGGGGCCAAGCCCTGCTCACCTTCGTGCCAGTGGGTGGCAAATAAATACAGGCACAGCTGCAGCTGGCACAGGGCTGCAGCACGCGTTTAGAGAACTGTGTGAGCCACGCGTTCCTTCTCCACCCCAAACCTAACAAGAACAGGCAAATGAGACAGTTTGTTGTGGTCTTACAAATCCAGAGAGAACAGAAGAAAAAAGAAAATGAAAAAAAAAAGAAAAAAGAAGCATTTGGGCCTGTAAGGTTGGGTAGGTAACAGCTGCAGTTGAAACAGATTGAACAGAAGCACATTGGAAAGAAAATTCAAAATCCAGCTCCAGGGATGCATCTTTTCATACATATGCGTGCACGTAAGATTGTTGTGCCTCTTGTCACTGTCTGGGAGGTCAGGGACCTGTGCTCCTGCTCTCCAGAAGCTCCCCTGCTGGCTCCAAGAAAAGCCATTAAACAGCTTTTTTATCATTTACTTCAAACCTGATATTGCAAGAAAGAACATTGAGCTAAAGTGCTGTCTTTAAGGATACTTAACTACTTGAAACACAAAATGCCAAATCAAGGTTGGGTGGTCTGCCTTAGAAAAAGCCAGCTGAACCCACCTAGACCTGAACCGTGTAGTCACTGTTGGAGGCCTCAGCAAGTAAAGGTGGCAGGGAGGTTCTCGCCGAGCACAAAAAAGGTGTTGCCGAGTGAAATCTCATCTGGCAGCATGAACCGAGCTAACGACCTAACGACCGCTTCCCCATGCAAGACACCGCAGCCCTCGCAGGGCCTCACACCTGTCGTGATTCCTCACCCAGCACGGAGGATCTTGGCCCAGGCAGAGCACCGAGCTGCTGTTTCTGCTCACCTCAGGAGCTGGAGGCCTGACACTGGGAGGGGCAGGGTGCTGCCTTCAGGAGCGCACTATGCACAGACTGGGCCAGACAACACCCCCACCTCAGCCTCAGTGAGTCCTGCATCTGCAGAGGAATAACACCAGGCACCAGTACAGATTAGGGGACGTCCTGCTGGAAAGCAGCCCCATGGAGACAGACCTTGGAGTCCCAGTCGGCAGTGATTTCTCCCTGGGACAGCAATGGCCCCTTGTGGCCAAGAGGGCCAGTGAGATCCTGGGGTGCGTTAAGAAAAGTGTGTCCAGCAGGGCTAGGGAGGTTCTCCTGCCCCTCCGCTCTGCCCTGGTGAGACCACACCTGGAATCCTGTGCCCAGTTTTGGGCTCCCCAATTCAGTAGAGACAGGGACCTACTGGAGAGAGTCCAAGGGAGAGCTACGAGGTGATCAAGGGACTTGAACATCTCTGCTGTGAAGAGAGACTGAGAGACCTGGGGCTGTTCAGCCTTGAAAGGCTGAGAGGGGATCTTATGAACGTAGAGAAATATCTGAGGGGTGGGGGTCAAGAGGAAGGTGTCGGTCTCTTCACAGTGATATCCAGTAACAGAACAAGAAACAGAACACAGGAAGTTCCACCTCAACATGAGGAGAAACTTCTTCCCTGTGCGGGTGCCGGAGCCCTGGCCCAGGCTGCCCAGAGAGGGTGTGGAGTCTCCTGCTCTGGAGACTTTCAAACCCGCCTGGACACGTTCCTGTGTGGCTGCCCTGGGGGATCCTGCTCGGGCAGGGGGTTGGACTGGGTGATCTCTAGATCACCCCCAACATTCTATGATTCTATGACTTTGTTTTGCTGCTTTCAGTGTTTGGGGACCTGCTTTTGTCTCAGTTCTGAGAGGATGGAAGCAGATGTTACTTACAGCTTTCAAGAGCCCACTTTATTCTAACTTGATGAAGAGACTTACTCCTGCTGTCGCTGTTGTCTCTACTCCACTTATCCCTCCATATCTGAGGAAGCTTCTTCAAAAAAGTACTGTCCTCTGAGAGACTCACAGCAGTTAACGCTGATCAGTAGTAGCAGGTCAAGTATTACAGCGAGGGGAAGTCACAGAGTTCATCGATTTGTCACATAAAGCGCAGAAAAGTGACTCGGCCAACTTTGCTTATCTTGTTTGATGAGAGATGCACTTCACTCTTGACCTCTGTGCCTGTTTTCAGTCTTTAATTTTAGAGCGACTTGCCATTTAGACTGAAGCTGCAAAACTCATTTGATGCAGACCCTCGTGCCAGCATGGGCTGAGAAGGGGTAGAGCCAAGCTCAGCTTTGGTTAACCAGAAAGGCTACGAAGAGATCTGTCACATGAAATTCAATACCCTAAGCCTTCAGATACTTTACAACCCAGTAAGAACAGTGTAGGATACACAATTTTCTTTTGCATTTCAAAGCACTGCATCAAATTAATTACATTTTAAAGAGTGAATTGAAGAAGGCAGGCAAGGAACGATATCTGAAATAGAAGAATTTTATGTAGACCATTCAGTGTTAAAAACCAGAGAATCAAACATTGGTTCAAATTAAAGAGCAGTTTCAAACAGAAGACATTTGATTAAAAGTTTCTTTTAACATTTAGAAATTTAAATACATTTACCTAAAGATGGTTAACCCCCATCTCTATGTTACTATACAATAGCTTAAAGCTACTTTTAAATGCTAGTTCTATGTTAATGTGAAAGAAGAACTGCATTCTTATTTTTATGTAAATTGGTTATTAATAAACTGGGTGACTCCATACTTCCTCTCACCCCAAAAGAAATTTTAAAAACTGGAGCTTTACAACGTCTTTAATAATATTTTTCAAATGAGTAGTTTGGAATAGTTTCCGACAGTTCTATAGGAGGTATTTTGTACAGTTCGGAGAGCAACTCCATATAAAGTTCTATTGCAACTGAGCATTCACAGTATGCCACAGTCCATACATATTACTACATATACATATCAGGTTTGTAAACATTGGAAGAATACACAGAACATAGTACCACGATCCTCTGGTACTGCTGAAAAGAAAGATGAGGTAACATTCATATAATCTCAAAGTCCGTTAAAACAGCTGCCAACGCTTCTGTTTCATAGTGTGTGGTTAAGGCTTTCTACTTTACGGTCTGCTAAGGCTGGATTCGTTAGCTCTCAGTATCCCAACCGCGTCTTTCACAGCGTGGTATATGACATTCTTCACCTGGGAGGAGAAGAAGGAGGTGGTCAGCGTTACAAGGAATCAGCACGGTTAGGGTCAGGGCGCAAGACCTGACGATGCCCCCACAGCTTTCCTGCTTGCCCGCACGGCTCTCGACCCTTGAGCGCGCTGCCCGAGCTTCAGGCACGTCACCAGCTTGTGAGAATAAGGGTCAACTTCTAACAGGGTATAACCCTCATAGCGCAAGGAGAGCGCTCTGAGTTCCGCCAGAGGGAAACAAGAAATGCAAGGGGGAAACGTTTCAAAAGAATCTTGGGAGAAGCTTCAGAAGGCTTCCTCAGAACTGCTAAGAATGGGTAACAATTTGAAAGCCTTTGGAAATTCCTCTTCAAGGTCCATTGCACTCAGATGGATCTGAACATGAAAGCAATTGGGTTGTGTGGACACACCCCTCATGAGTTTGGGGAGGGCTGCCGGTTGTTTTTTGGTGGGTTAAGAGGGGCAGGGTTCATCCTGAACACTTAATTTACCTGCAGTTTATCTTCATGGTTCGTATGCGTATGCGACAGATATCTAAATTCCTGAGTGAGCCAGAAGCAATGTTTGACATGCTCTGGGGATACAAAGTCTTCTGCGACCTTAATGCAACTGTACAAATTGTGGACCTAGAAAGAACAAACAAGCGTTAGCCGCGTGCTCCGAAGCGCGCCCACGCGATCAGGCTGTCAAACAGCATCCCTGGTCCTTGCCTGGTGCGGAGCTCCAGCTGGAATGAAAACTACGTCTCCTAGAAACTGTACAATAGCCCAGCCTTGAACTCCGTACTCCTGATGAAGGCGTTTGCGTAGCGATCGGTCCAAGTACCAACTCTGATCGTGGATGGGGTCGTGATCTACAGGGTTTTCTTGACCTTGTTCTTCTGCAACCTGCAAAGTCACAAGACAACAGGTGTTACAACATACAGGTCTTACTGGATAATTAAGGCGTAGCTGTGGTATTCCATACACACATGTGCCAGAGAACTTGTACCGTGTGTTCAGGTACAACAACAAGGTTGGGATTCTTATTCAGTCCTTAGTTTGTCAAGGCTCCATCATTTCTCAGTCCCTCTTGCTTCCCAGAGGGATTGCAAAGGGTGGCACAGGAAAAGCAAGTAAAACTGATTTACAGTCAGAAGCAGCAGAAGGGTTAAGTGACTCTCACTGTCCTGTGTGGGACTGATACTCTCACACTACTATAGCCTGTAACTGGAAGAAACTACTGAGCGTGGAAATCAGCAGGAGGCCAGCACTAGTCACGGTGCTCACTGATCAAAACAGAGGATACACACTGGGTTTTCAGGAGATAGGAAGCTGGGAGGCACAACACATAATTTAGAAGAGAAATTTGAGGGAGAGAATTACTGCAAAAAGTTCTAGCATAAATCCAGTTTGCTGTGGCAATCATTTACACCCAGAACTGCAGCCCAAAAACTCACGCGGGAGGAGAGCAACAGCTTGGTTCTACTCCAAGACAAGCTGCTGAAAGCCTCAGGCCTGCAGGCGAGTGTGTCGCAAGGGACCAAGAAGAGGTGCGAGACACAGATGTCAAAACTCAAAATGCCAGTGCTTATCAAATTCAGTGTCACGTTCTAGCAAGTACAGGACTTGTTCTTTGTTAATACTAAACAAATCTGCTGTAGCCTCTCTAAGCTTCTGCCCAGGACAGTAGTCAGGCCAACAAGGCCGCCAGTTGTTCGGATCATCCCATTTACCCTTTTAAACATCAACGTATCAGCTCTGTGCGCTTTTAGAGCACCAAAGAAGTTCCAGAATTAAGATCACCCAAGAACTGTGGACAGTTAGTGGTGAATTTACTGAAACAAGCCCGTTCAGATGTAGTAACACATCTCTACTAAACCTGTAACTCCCTTGAAAATATCACCCAAAATACCTCAATGCTTTTCCCTTAATCCAAACCTCATTAAGGGGGGGGGTGGTGGTGGTGTTAGAAAAAGCGAGCGAACAAGGAAGAACTCTATCCACCACATATTGCTCCGACATTTCCCAAGAACATCTCACATGCATGCTTTTATGAAGGATCGAGTTTAAGATTAAACTGTGGTTTTGCTTAAAAATAAAATAAGCCTTTTTTTTTTTTTTGCCCATTACACAACATCGTAAGGTGCTATAAGAAGTGTGGGCAAAAGCAGCGAATCAACACACAGGATAACTCTGAGCTTCAACTCGCTACCCTCCTCAGATCCTACAAGATTCATGGCACACGAGAAGTTTTGTCTTGGATATGACTCAAGTACACTTGTTTCCAGAACAGCCAGGTTAGAAAGGAGGAGAAAAGTCCAAGGATACATCCATGCAAGCCTACACAGGCAGTAGATCCGTTTTTAAGATATTGCAGCTTACCTTTTTAAGGAATTCCCGAATCTTCTCTGTATCTTTAGCAGCATAAATGTGCCACAGAGCTCCAGGCTTTTCTCGACTTTCAGTAAAACGCTTTATTGTCAATTCATCAGCGTCACCATCTTGTATGGTTTTAAGCACTTCTGGTGAGAGTAAAACATGAGCAGTTACGCTAAAGGACCTTCCCTCCACCCACAGAAATAACACTCCCAGCACACAAGAAAGACTTTACCTTCTTCTTGATCAGCCTGGCCTTTAGGGATACCCACATAAACCATAACATTCGCTGCATCAGACACATCTAAATGGAGGTTTGTTGTGCCATATTTTCTATCCTCTGGTGTTATTAAGCCTGGGGAGGAGGGGGAAAGAAAAAAATTAAAAAAGAGGAGCAGGCACATTAGTAAGACAAAAAGAAAGCTTATGCCACTCTCAGGAGAGCTATCTAACTATCTGAAAACACCAGAGAGCTTTTACTTTTCTCCACACAGGACTCGAGTACAGCGATGTGCTTTACATTCAGGACCTTGCCTCATCTTGTTTCCATCTTCCCACGTGATCAGCTTACAGGCTGACACATCGAGCAGGATCTAGCCCCAGCCTGGGTGATATATAAGTGACGTTTAAGTCCTTCTACAAGAAGGTTTTCTATAGTGGTTTAGAACAAAGTGTTCTCAGAAACAGCCTCTTTTTCACCTGTCCCAATTTGAGCTAAAATCCTCAACTCTGTTTAGTGATTTTTACGTTCCAGTTTAGTCTCTTCCAAAAGGCTGCACGTTCTGAAGTCAGCAGCATGTTTTGCAGACAGTGTGTGCTACTGGCAGTGATAACACCTGATGTTTGCAGTCACTGCCTGGCACTGGGATGCAGACAGGCTCTTGCTGATACTGATTCCTACGGTGCCCAAGGCCACTGCTGGCTCTGTGTGCCAGGCTGGGGGCGCCTCGCAGGGAGGGGGGCCACAAGGAAGTAAAAGGTTGCACCTCCGGGGGGTAACAGACAGGACAGGTGACCAACGAGAGTATTCCATCCCATATACGTCATATTTAGTATAAATTGAGTGATCATGAGAGTTTCTTCCTCCTTCTGCAATGGCCGGTGTCCAGGGAGGACTCCGTCTTATCTCTTGCTTTTGATCTGGATCCTGAGTTCCTGAACCCAGCTCCCTTTATCCAGGTCCTGCCCCAGCACCACCAGCTCTGCAGCACCACTGGGGAACGATATCAGGGGGAGTCAGATTCGATACTGGGCTTATTAATGATTTGTATATAGTCCTCTGGTTTTTATCATTTCACTATTATTTCCATTATTGTTTCATTAAAGCTGTTCTACTTTTTCTTTCCTAATCCGTAAGTGTCTCTGCCTCATTCCCTTTTCCTTCCCATTTCGGGGCAGAGGGAGAAGGGGTTAGAGAGCGTCTGTCCGCGTTCAGTGGCCGGCCCAGCCCTAACCCGCAACATCACCCTAACAGGCAGCTGCTCCAGTATTTAGCAGCCACGACCTCTTTACTGGCCATGATCACGCTCAGTTTTAAATGTCTCTTGAGTGACAGTAGATGAACCAGCCACGGAAAGAACTGCTCAAGAAGAGATTAAAAGCTGACTGATCCAGTCCAAAAAGGAGAAGTAACACAGAAGTGACGTAGCCAGAAGTAGCAAAACAACAACTGGACATGGCCAGCTGTACCAAAGAAAGGCTGTCTATGCACATGTGGAGCAAGTTGATCAGAAGACTGGGAATAAATATTACTGGCTTGAAACCACCTGGACAAAAAAATATGTAATACAAATCATATAATGCTCTGGACACCACTAATACCTATAAGTGAGGCAAAGTTAGGTTTTCAGGTCAATAGGATTAATCAAATGGCCTACAACAGCAAGGATTCACTTAATTTACAGTAAATTTTAATTTGGATGTGTGGCCATTGTGATCTTTAGAGTTAAAAACTCCTTACCATACGCATTGTACATCTTGGGGCCCAAATCCGGTCGTACGAAATAGTTGGGGAGTCTTGATGCAAGGTTCAGCTTGCCACCTCTCCTAGTGTATTCCGGCAAGGGAATATTTTTCATCAAATCATCAAACCTGAAGTGACACAGGGCAATTTAATGTTGGGAACTGATCAAAACAGTAGACTAAAACAGATTGCAACAAAAGCTTTCTGCAGTGAAGAAACAGTATTCGCTCCCCCAGGGGTTTTACAGGGCACCATGGAAAGGAACAAAACTAGCAAGACACAGGAATGCAGCAGATAAATTTAACTGCTCTGAAGCAATGTTGCCTTATGTAGCCATCGCAACTACTATCAAATAGAGTAAGTCAGAAGACTTAAAAACATTTGGCAAAAAAACCCAACCTTCAACTGAAGTTTAGATTTCAAAATGGTTCAGACTCTTAGGAAGTTTCCAAAGTTTAACCAATCATTAGCAAGTTTAGGTACTCGCTTCACTTGGCAATAAATATGAACTACACAAAACTATGAACTACACAAATTTTATGATAAAACTTATTTAGCATTTCCAGCTATGTCAGACATCTGTGAGAAACAAAACGGTTCAAATGTGAACAACTGCCTCTCAAAGCCAAAGCAGGTGTCAAAACGTAACAGTATTCCCACAGTCCCTTATTTTGGGAGTGTACCACACAAATGATGAACCGTTTCTTTGTGAATTCCTACCGAGAAGGCATCATGTCTCTGAAGTCTTCTCCCGGAGGCCAGTCTTTAAGCTTCAACACCATTGGCTCTCCTTCTTCTGTTCTGAGACGACCTATTGCCAAATACAAGGAAGCTTTAGTTTTTAACAGTCATATAGCTCAAAATGCAGAGAATTAAGACAAAGAAATCCTTATCTTAGGTTAAAATCCTGTTAATCCCACAGTGATTTATGTAGAACCAAAGACATACAAGATCATCTCACACCACGGTTGGGCGTTACTACTGTGACACACGTGTTAGGACAGGACATTTCAGACTGGAGCAGCAGCCTTTGCCAGCTCCCCTGCCCAAGCTCTTCCTACAATTTAGCTCAGGCAACTGTTTCATATTTGAGGCCAGAGGAGCTGAAGACAAAGACAAATCTTCTCAAAGATCAAGTAACAAAAGAAAGGTGCAAGCGAGCCCTCCAGCTCCCAGTCTTCTTGTTCCAAGTACAAAATTCTAAGTTTACATCACACAAACAGATGAAGTAAACTCTGGATGCTGTGGCAACTATTAATTCTCCTAGAAAAAGTTTGTTCTCACAATGTCAAACCTCATGCTCACCTCCCCTAAATGCACTTTTATACAAAATACCTTCAATCTCTTGGGAACAAGAGGCACCTGCAGGTTAAAACAGCAGAACCCAATTATCTTGTGAGCACCAACTCTCTTACGTTTCACTCAGCTGGGCAATAAAAGCAGACAGGTGAACCTACTTGCTTTCTCAGAATGCTTCCCCAAACGCTACAAACTTTCTCAGAACACTTCCCTGACAAAAGCAAAAACCCTGACTAAAGGCAGCCAAACATTCTCCTGAAAGGGAGTCCTCCATGGGGCTGACAGCTTCTGTCCGTCCCACAAGCACACGTGCTGAGAATAGCAGACACGCTCTCCAGGATGAAGGAAAGGCCTGAAGCACCTTTTATACTGCTTAGGGATAACAAATTTGTGCTAGGACAAAGTTATCGCTGCTGAGTATATTACTATTGGAACAAAAATTGATGTTACTTACTTGAAATATCTTCAAATCCATCCCAGAAATCTCCTACAGTAGCTCCAGTGATGATTTCATTGGTCCTGCAGTTAACCAGATCTACCTCCTGTTGGCCAAATTCCTTCCTAAAAGACTCTGGTCTCCAGAGGTCTGCATTTAAGTTGTGATGCACTCCTGACACCATGACAGGCTATGGAGAAGAAGAAAACGTATCAAACACCAAACATTCCAACTCCAAACAGAATAACGCTTAAGATGCACTGAATATTGCACACAAGCACTTTGTGAACATTTTATTTTCCAAAATAAGCGCTGAGTCTGCCATAAAAATGATCAAACATGTAATTCTGGCATCTCAAGCCACGAGGCAGCTTTTCACACAGAGCCATAAGTTCAGCAGCGCGTTTAGAAAGCGATTTCAAACAGTAAAATATAAATCTTTTTATCCAAGGATCTAACCGTGTTCCCGTAGTACGTCTTATGCAGGTTTAGTGTTCTTCTCACTGCAGGAAGTGTGAACCTGCATTTTGGTTAAAGGGCAAAGCCCATGAACTGAAAAAAGAAAAAGCTAAAAGAGCATAAATACCTGTCCCTGCTTCCAGCACTCCCTGAAGACATTCCAGTTACTTTCGTTGTTGGGATCTTGAAGACACAGCAAGCGGTTATCACACAGCCAGTAGTGAGGTGTGTCAAAGCCCATTATCGTGGGCTTTATAGTCAGTCCTTGGGGTTTCTTAGGCAAGTCTGTAACGGTTCTATTTTGCACCAGGGAGGCAAAAATGTCATCAAGGATTTTGGGTGTACTCTTGAGTCCACTGTCCGTCTGCAAACAACAGAAAAGAACAAAGTTGGTGCACTTCTCTGTTGCCTTATCTTCTTTAAAGTCTGCAGGACATTTACCACTTTCAAAATCTTTCACCTGAGCTCACGATCACATGGAGAAACAAAAACCTGCAAAACTTTGTCTAGAAACCCACCACGATGAAATGCCAATGCCATTTCTGATGCTACCTACAGCGTTCTGGCATCAGAAGTTCTGCTCTGATTTACGTTTCAGCAATGCTGCAGAAAACCACGAAATACAGAACACAACTTTCTTGATATCAAAGAACAGAAATGGAGTTTCAGCAAGGAACTCTCCATTTTACCCAACCATTCTGAAGTCACACCTGTAAGAGCAATTGAAGCCCAGGAACACCCGAGGTGAACCAGTCCTCAGACGAGGTATGAGATAGTCACCCACCACAGAACGTTTTTCCTTCCACCTGTATGTTCTTTGATGCTTCTTTTCTGAGTCTAATGCAAATACCAATCAATGCACCTGCCAGACACCAGCCTAAGGAAATCAATCTGCTTTCTCATTTGGTTCCCAATCCCTCACCCAGCCAGGCTTGCCAATAGTCCCACCAAGCTCCTGCTCTGGAAAGCACTAACTGAGCACTGCGACAGGGAAACTGAATTAAGTCCTTTTTCCCAAATAAAGACAGAATTTTACCTACTGCAGCTAATGCCTGTGGTAGTTGTTCCCGGGTTTAGAACAGCTGTCTAAGCCTGGTATAAACCCAAACCTGTAAAGCAAAATTTTCCATATACCTTTCCTCCAGAAGAGTTCAACAGATTCCGCAAGAAACCTGAGTTGTTGTTGCTCACAGGTGTTAATATCGCACTGTTGAATGTCTGCAGGGCTGCAGCAGGCTTGGCTAAACTGGGGAGTGTCTGAAGAGGTTTATTGTCATTCTTTGAAACAGGTACGAGTGGTTTCTCTGAAATGAAGAAAACATCTGAGAATGAAGCAAGGATTAATCCTCTGAATTATTATTAGTGTACACTTTGGATTTTTTAAGACAACAAAACACTCCTATATGTACACATTTACATATATATGTGTATAAATATAAATCTCCTCTCCATACATGCAGATGAATTACGGATTTCACTTCCTTCAATACTCTAAAGGTTTTAAAAATCACCCATCCTAAAATAAATATATTCTCAGTTTGAATTTTCAAGAATACTCACACTGTAGAATCATTTAGGTTGGAAAAGACCTTTAAGGTCTAGACCAACAATAATATTAATCCAGTTTTCAAAAAAAGAAAATGCTAACCCTGCCAGGTTTTACTCCCAGTGATTGCCACAGACCAGTTTTGCAGTACAGGCACTGAACACCCATCCCAGCAGACAGATCTTATTATTCTCAACGCAAGATATTGCTGCCTCTGATATATATTCTTCTGACAAACAGCCACAAAGGGTTTACTCTTCGCTGGTTCTGCACATACCTTTGTTTTCTTTATTCACGTTTCCACTTGTCAGATTGGATAACCAGCTTAAGGAAGGAGAAGTGTTTACTGAAGCAGTTTGTTTGCTTCCAGTCGCTGACTTTAAAGGAGGATCATGTGTAGTGACTTGGGGGCTCAGGATCAAGCTGTTATGCTGAAGGTTGGTCCTCTCTCCAGCTACCAAGTTCTGCAAAAACAACAGGAGAACTTGATTAGACGCAAACACACTCCAGTCAGAATGCGGAAACAAGCAGTAACACGTCCAAATTCATTCTGTTACCAACAAACTTCAAAAAAATAACTAATCTCCACAAGAGGTCAGCATTGCATCTCCGTTTCAGGCAGCGAGCATGATCCAGCAGGATTCAGGACCTCCCGACTTTCAGAGCAGGTGACAGAGTCCACCACCCCTCAAGCGCGGGCGCAGAAAGCTGAACCACCCAGATGGGTTTTCTGGAACTGCTTTGGGAACCAAATGCAGTTTTCGTAGCAGCGCTCTCACACCGCGAGTGACAGCTGATGTGCGGACCAGGGCTAAGCTGCTCTACGAGTTAAGGAATCTAAACTACATAGTGCTCCTCAATTTTTATTTAAGGCAGCAGCAAAAGCCTCCTCACCTGCCAGGTCTGAAACACCCCCAGACATGAGTGCAGCACCAGCCGGGACGACACAGCCCAAGCACAGGACATGGTTACACAAGGCAATAGCACTGCTGCTGTGCAGCTGATCTATCTAGTCCTTTGGAGATTCTACATAACAGAGACGAACCGGAACTACTGCTTTGGCCGGGAATTCCTGCATGACTGGCTACATCTAGTCTCTCTGCTTAAATACTTTTCAGTCAAGAGATTATTCTGCACCTGTGTCAGCCTATTACTACATTCTTTATTGCATCTCTTGATGGCTGCTGGCACTTGATAAGGATTTCAAACACGAGGTACTATTAAATGCTTCAAACTTTAATAAGCTGATTCTCATGCCACCAGTGCAGTACTTAATTTTATACAAACAGAGGTAGAGATGAATTTCAATGCAGCTATTTGTTCAGAGTGACAGCAGAAATCTCAAGAACAGAAGACTAAAGCTAGGTCAGTTGTACGCTGATTTTTGAATCACATACCCATCTTCCTTGCTTTTAACACTTCAGAATGTTTTTTGCCTCTTCTATCGATCACCAAGATCAAAATCAAGTTCAGCCCGCTTCTTAAACTTAAGACAACCCATTTATTCTCAAAGTAAGTTTACAACAAAATTAATATTACTTAATTCAGCTGAGCCATTAACTTGTGCTCTATTTTCAAAAGAAAAAAAACACTATATCCATTTACAAACAAACATAGAGCATACAGTGGGGTTTTGTTTGTTTGTGGGTTTGTTGGGGTTTTTTAGTACAACGAGCAGCAAACTTTCCATCAGGATTCACAGAGAAATCCGTGTTTCTAGCCCTTGCAATTTCATTCATGTTTACCTCTGATGAATTCTAGTGCTCTTCCACCCTACTTACTCTTTTGGATGCTGCATGTTACATCTCCAGGACCCAAGGGATAGCCTACACCTCACAACCATTCCCACTAGTCTGTTCTTAAAGCTGTTCTCTGAAGTGTTCTCTCAATCCAATCCTATTTTTGCTCTAAAAAAAAAATCTTCACTGAACATTTTTCAAGGAAAGGTCACTTACCAAGGTAACAGCATGTCAAAGTGACAAGAGTTTTTTCCCCAAAACTTAATTAAAAAAAAAAAAAAAAGAAATAGAAAGACAAATACTAAATACAAATTTTGAACAAAAACCTATGTGGTGGGGTTACCAGTAGTGGCACACAGATAGAGTCAACTATCATTGGCTTCAGATACAGGTAGTGGATCAAGACAAACTTCCACTACGCAGACACAGCGTGAGACAGCAGCAATACCTGTTTTGAATCCTCCTTTAGAGTTGGCTTTGACAGTGCCTTGAACTGCTTATTTGCACACGGACAATTTGCCTTTATTCCCCACTTTGTTCTTACGGAGTGAACGATGTCACCAACATCATAGAGAGCTGAAGGAAAAAAGAGTCATTAGTGAGCCTGCATGTAATTAGAACATCCAGCATTCAATAAGACTTTTTTAAAAATAGCGTATGCAATGCACGGAAACAATAGTACACAAACCCAGTTCATCATTCATCAAGTTTTGCTACTTCTTTGTATGAGTCTAAGCTAACAGAATAGTATTAAACTCGAGAACTAGAGACTAAAGTCTATGGTTCAGTCTTTGGAAGATAAAAACTAAGCTTTTACTAACTTTATTACTAAAATAAACCCAACTAAACAACCTTCACCCAGTACAACAAAAACATACAAAAGACAGCAAAAGCCTACAGCATTTTTTTAATCCCAACCAAATATCTAAAATACCTCTTCCGGGAATTATTTGTGTAGGCATTAGATTCTCTGGTTCATGCACCTGCCCCTTCACACATTTAAACCAGGAGAAAGTATCTGAGTCATCATCTGTAAAACAGAACCATTACATTGCTTTATTAGAGCATTTTTCGTTCTCCTCTCAAAAGCTACATATTTTATTACTATTGATATACCAAACCACAGGTCTACAACAGGTTTTTTGCATTAGGAAGGCTTATTATCTTGTTGGTTACAGTTATTATTGGCTTCCAAGTTCAAAATACAGCCTTACCTCTGTGCCAGGTAAAATCAT